CAGATGGAAGTGTGATGACAACTTTTAAAACCAGAGTAATTTGAAAATAAAACTGGAGGGAAAATCTTCAAAATCTCTGAGATAGGGAAGACTTTAATATTTGCATTTTAATCTTATTTTTATTGTTTTTAACTTTTCTCATACTTTGAAGCATTCACTTCTTGAAATCTGTTCAGATATTAATTGAAAACTGCCTGTTCCTTCAGTCAAATCTACATTTTATTCTATTATAGTGTTTATCTTTTGTGAGCCCACATTTTTAGATTGGAAATTCTAATTAAATCACGTTAGTTGGTAAGAGATTTAAATTGATTAATTACTACATATGAGTAAATGCTTTTCTTTTTCTTTCTTTTTTCTTTTTTTTAGGTGAGGCAACCCTTGGTTGACCTCACAGATTGCAAGGACCTTGTCATTTTACAATCCCTTATTTTTTAAATTTTTTTACAGCTACAACACCTGGTCTTCCTAGGTGGTCTCCTATCCATGTACTAACCAGGCCCAACTCTGCTTAGCTACCGAGATCAGACGAGATCCGGCTTGTTGTTCAGGGTAGCATGGCCGTGGACCTTAAGTGCTTTTCTGGTGTATTTTAGAATATATGTATATACTTAGACAAATAGGATTTAAAGCATATTTTGTATTCTTTGCAAGCGTAAAGGATTTTACTTATGCAAAATAATAATATTTAGATAACTTGTTATTGACTGATGAAAGTTCCTAGACAGATGATCAGAAGAATTCCTTGTTCTTTCAGTTAGAAAACTTTTAATTCCTACTTTTTCTCTTTTGCCTTTTTTTTTTTTTTTTTAAAAATCTAAGACCCTTCTGTAACCTAGACCTGGTACTCAAACTCATTGCCATTTTGGGGCAAGATCTGACACTGTTGGACTTTCTGAGAAAAGAGGAAAATACATCTTTACTTCATTACTCCTATTCCCTAAGGTGGTAGACAAATTTACTTCTTATCAAATCCTGCTCAGTTATAAATGGAAAAAAAAACACATGGTTTTCTCAGTTAATCAAAGCTCCATATTTTCTAGAAAATCTCAGCTCCACTTATATTGGCTTTTATTAGTTCTTTATGTTCAGTAAATCAAATGGACATACGAAATTTTACCAACTTTTCCTGTGTAAATTCACATTTGTGCTGAGAATGTGCTCAAGAAAAGTTAAATCAATTATAATACTAACTATATAGTATGTAGCGTTGACTGTACAGTTTCTTAGAGAACAGATGATACATAAGTGATTTTATATTGCAGCAAATTCTTGTTCACTTATGTGACACTACACTAATTTTTAAAAATGTGTAATTTAAAGTTCTTTTCTAACTTTGAATCACTAAAAATTAATTGCTATTAATTTTTAATATTTATATTAATTTTCTATTTTATTTACATACTATTTATATTAATTACATTTTATGTTAAAGAATAAGTATACATTTTTCTAATTTAAAACTACCACCTTTTCATATTTTCATTTCATATTTTCCTCTTGGTTCATTATCTTTGCTCATTTGTCAAACATTGTCTTTGTTCTTTGGATCCTTTAAAAATGTGACCTGAAAATAAATATCTAACTGAACCACACATTATTTATAATTTTTTTCCTTAGTTTTGATTTGGTGCTACTATGATTTAATTTCTTTTTAAATGGTATGCCTTTACTTTGAAACACATTAAAGAGCATTGTGAACTTTATAGGACTAGTTGTCTACCAAATGGAACTTTTACTTTTTTAACTGCCATTATTCATTCTAGTAACTAATTTTGACTACTGATGAAATTTCAACTAATATATAGATTGTATAAAGAGTGATATTGCTCAGTTCTTTTTTCTTAGGCAGTTCCTATTACCCACTTTCCACAGTAGTGTACTGTTTGGGTTAATTTTGGTCTAGAATTTAATATTGTTTTCTAATGTATATTGTACAACCATTATATTTTCATTTCCAGTTGAATTACCTGATTATATATTTGGATTAATTTTCTATTAAGTTTTAGTTTTTAATGTTTCACTTTTTTTGTAAAATATTTTTGCAATTTATCTTTCTTGTTACTAGTAATGGTAAAATGGCCTGTTTATTACTTTTAGCATCTTTGACTTTTATGTCAATGTAGAATAGATTATAGAAACACCTTCATTTTTTCTAGTTCTATAGTCTGTTCTGTTTTGAAAGAAAGTCATCTTATCATCAATTGAGGTTTTCTTTTTTTTTTTGGTATTAACAGAAAATAAATATCCTCTATTAGACTGTATTTGACTTCTATAAGACATAGAAAATATTTAAATAGTATTCATTTTTTTCCCAAGGTGATTTTTGGAACGTAAATAATGTCACTTAAACTGAATAAACATAACTTCTATCAATAAAATTCTAAAAAAAATAAAATTTTCACCTAATTTTATTCTCCTGTTTTTCTTTTGACATGGCTTTATTTTCCAGTTAACCAGTTGATGGAGAATGATAGTACAACTTTTCCGTAAAAGAAGAAAATTAATAAATTTTTCAATGACCTGCATAAGGAACTTAGCAACTAATCATTTTATAGTGTGTTTTCTGAGAACTTAACTCTGAG